ACAAGCATCGGGTCTGATGGCTGACAAGGCCACTGGAACCAGCGACGGACACGAAGAGGGGGACAAGATCGGAAAAGAAGCCTCCAAGGTCGATGGCGACGACGGCCGCGGGGGATGGCTCCAACTGAGCATCGGAGGCGGCCGTCGCTCCAACTATCCCAAACTACAAGATCCTTCGCCGGTGCTGGATCCGTCAAGTAGCAACGGTAGGAACAAGGGCGATCCACCGGAGTTCCACTTGTTCTGCCGCAGACCCTCCGAGCCACCTCCGGCCTTGGCGCCGCCGCTGTTCCCTGCGATCATGGGAGGGTACTGCCACCAATGGCCGGAGTATCCAAGCCCAAGCTCCACGGCGAGAACATTCACCCCGTCGAGCAGCAGCCGGGGCCAGTTCGTGTGCCCATCGGCTAGGTTCAGCTCGCCGCTGCGGCTCGACGGGGAGATGAGGGTGGTGAGCCAGCCACGTCGGCCGCAGACGGGCATGTGGCTCGTTCTCCAAGCAGCACAAGACCAGTGAGTTGGAGGGAACTATTAGCAGTGTGCATATCATCCCTTTCTTTCTTCATGCTTTCATCAGTTTCCAAGTGCTTCTCTTGTCATGAGCTTCTAGTCCACTATCAATTGATGCAAGTAGGGAAAACACATGCATCACTGGAATAAGATGGTGGATTTATGTAGGTTGTGATCCTGGGTGTTCACCTTTTTCTCTTTCATTTGCAGGGTAAAGGAGCCTTTCCTGCCTCAGATACCCAAGAGCTACTTGAGGATCAAGTACTTTCTTTTCCTCTTCTCTTTCCATCATCTTCCTGCTCTTTTTCTCTTCTGGGACAGGGAATGTCATGATTGGAATTTAAATACTTCTTCTCCTACCTATAAAGAGGATTCATTTTGTAGGGATGGAAGGATGACAATTAGGCTGTTGATGAGGTACTTGGCTAGTAAGCTTGGGTTGGAGGATGACTCACAGGTGCTTTACATCTCTTCACCACTTACCTTCTTCCTATAATTACTTGTGTACCTCATTTTGGATGCATATTGTTCATATACATGTCTTTGTTATGCTTATCATATGATCATGATAGGCTTGCATTGGCTTAACCAGAAAGAAAAAGAAATAAACCACTTTGGATGAAAGCAATATAAGTTTCAGTGTGGACAGAAATAGATTGTAGGGTTTTTGGATCATAGTTTGGAACTCATTGACTTGGTTACAAGTATGCTGGCAACATATGATGATGAAGGATTTTATTGGCATAAGATCTAAATTTTCTCTTAGCAAGAGTGTTTACTATATAATAGTTCATGATAGATATGCTATATACTAAAACATATATATACACACACATATAGAGCATATAAATGTATCCTCTCTACCAAAAATGAACAAATAAATAAATGAGCTAATGGAAAGAAAAATAAAAAAGCGAACATATCTGTTTAAAAAAAAAATGCAATCATAAGAATTGAGCTCATCATCAAACATGTTATAGTTAGGTCATTACTTAGATTCTAACAAAAGATAAACTTATTCTCGGAGTTTTAGGAACTTGTAATTCCAATGCATCTTATAACTCTAAAAAAGAAAAGATGTGTTGATAAAGATCATGAATTATCATTTGTGGAAGATGGTTATAGCATAGCACTTTGAACATGAAAGAAGAAACTAACTCATAATTGTTCTGCACTATTATTTCTCTGATAAGTTATATTTGCATTTGAGTAAGTTGGAAGATTTGTTGGCTTCAGCTACTATTTATACGGATTTAATTTGTTAGCCTTGTTACATGTGAAAGTTGAACAAAAAGAAATGAAACCTTATGCCCCCAGTCATCATTTCTTTGGCCTCAACGTGCTTCATGCCATGCATGTACTCTTTAGTGGTCCTTGCCAGCACTATAACGTGTCTAACATATGTACTGGTCTGACTTGAGTAGTACCATTTGTACCATAATGATACGTAGTTTCCTTAAGCTAACATATGAAAGATGCATGTGTCGGCTAACTTAATTGATAAAGACTCTGATACAAATGCCTACAATTTAATTGATAAAGACTTTGATACATTATTATAAGAACCTAAATTCATCACTTATCTTTTGAAAAAAAATAAAAATATATATATATGATATAAGGCATAGTTATCAGAGCTGATGTCTAAGTTTCACTTTAGTAAATCAATCAGTCAATTATGAATTTAATAGTATATTATATAATTATTATTTTTTTAAAAAAAATATTATTTTTTGCCTCGTTTCTCTCATTTTCTTTTCTTCTTTCTTTTGAATTTTCTTTGTCATCCATCCTCTCTTTCTCCCTTTCTTTTCTACTTCAAGTTCTCCCATTCCTAGTATTCCACTGGGCAACCGATTGAAGGATAGAAAAGAAATTTTTAATTGATGATATTAATACTATTCAAATATCCATAATTATAATTAAACTTGATTCATAAAATAAGGGTATTATAAAGTCTTGGAAAAATCAGACGGTTTAAATCAATTTTTTTGACACATCTGATCTTTTTTACAAAATGGGAACATCCTAAAAAATTAATTAATTAATTAATTAATTAAATTGTATTGTTATAATGATTACTTAAACTCCTGAAAAAAAATATATGGTTCAGAATTAAAAACTAGCTTATAATAATTTATCACCAAATGACAAAAAATATATACATGCAGTCCAAGACAGTTTGTTGTTGAGTGTTAAAATTTGAGGAAAATATATATAATATTCCTAGAAAAAGATAAGGGATATATCTATTTGCCATTTGAATTTGTAATGGAATTAAGTCCATCTATTAAAAAAAACCATGATAAAATGAAAAGGGGACAATGTTTCTTTTACTCCATACCCACTACTCCCCAAAACCCTAATACTCATGCCTTTTAACGAGTATATATGCATGTAAAAACTCGGATTAAAAGGAGTAAGTGGACTTTCATGTTTCGAAGAGGTATGCATTCAAAGTCAAGATCTGAACGATGCATGCACTGTGTTCCGACTTGTCAAGTTGCTGAATGGCAAAGGCACAAAAGGCATGCAAAGGCGAAAAGGAGCGTCCATGGAATTTGTATCCACAGTAGAATGGCTCTCGGGAGGAGAGGAATGCATCAAGACACAGAGAAAGAGAAGGGACCACTTCCCAACCATGTTGAGTTGTGGCCAAGAAAGGGAAAGTGTCTGCACTCCCTCCTCCGCTCTGTGGATGCGTGAGAATATTGACTTGTTGTGGCGTCCATGGACGGGCAAGGCGACGTGGGAGAGACGTGCATGAGATCACATGAGCAGGGTTTGGTGGTGGGGGAATACTTGCCTGATTCCTTGGCGTGCCTATGGGATCGTGTGTCCCCTTCCTTTGTCTCACTCACTGCCATGGTCTGCGTTTGCTATGTGGCAGCACTTATCAATATCGAATCCCATAACTTGATAGTTTAGGATTGAAGGCAGTGAACGATGGGATTAGGGTTGTGGGGTTGAATTCCTAGTGATGGATGTGAAGGGAAGCAGAAGTTAGTGGTGGAATTGGGCAGCTATCATCATGATGTGGTTTCTTTAGTTGGCCATGAAAGGGAGAGTGTTGAGGTCCACGTAGCCGAGGAGGGGATAGTGGGCTACTACGGGTAATGGGCAGAGATGTCATCAGCTTACCCTGTCATGGCGTCATAAACTAAGATTTAGTCGAAGGTGTTGTCTAATTTCGATGTGCTATGCTCAGGCTGTCATGCATGCAAAATACTATTATTTGCAATATGATGCTAATCATTTATAGATGAGAAAGAGAATGAAATGAGGTGAACTTGGAACATGAAACCAATATCTACCAAGGAAAGAAACTTAAATGAAAAGGAATTAGGGAAACATGACACTGGAGCTGGTGGCAACTGACCTCTATATTGACCGCAGCACCTCCTCCAGTGATCTCTAGCTGTGACCTCCACCACCAACCACTTTCTACTGTGAGACAACAGCCAAATGTACAAAGCATTTGAGATAGGGCAACAGAGACTAGCAAGAAAGAAAACAGAGAAGAAAATGGGAAAGCTTAGTGGAGGAGGGGTTATAAATTTTACATGCATAAGAGGTTTCTTCATCAAGAGGTAGACAGACCAATAGCATATCTGGATACTCTGCCCATGGGTTAATTACACTCTGTTAATTTTGCTAATTAAGGGAAATGACAAAAGCTGGGCCGTAAAATGAAATGATAACATTGATGTCATATCATAATAAGACCAAAATGAGAAGCCTTTACAAAAAAAAAAAATGTTTCTGATTTGATTCTTAATAGAACCAAATTGCATGATATGATACAATAACTATGCAGATTAAACATAGCACAAACCTATCTTTAAGCCCAATTTAAAGTCAAAATAATACAAGGTTTCATCAAGGAACTTCTGTATGTGAAACCAAGGTGCTCTGTGTATTTACTTTACTTACCTGAAGTTAGCATAAGACTGTTCACCTTTCCTTATCATCCTTGCTTCACTCTAATGCATTAATGTCGACTAAATCAGGTGGAGATTACTTGTCGAGGCCAGCAGCTTTCTCCTTTCTTGACACTAATATATGTTCGGGACAACATCTGGTGTTCACCGGAAGCAGTGGAGCTGCACACAGACACATCTAGCACCAAATATGTCATGAACCTCCTTTACAGAAGCAGAGGCAGATGCAGATAGAATGAATCCTTGCCCTGCTTAATCGCCGAATTGAAGTTTTTTTTTTCCTCGAATGTTGTCTTCAATGTGTTATGTCTCTTCACTTATCAAGCTCCCGGGAAAAAGAAAAATGGAACTATGATCCCAATCACTAGACCAGATCAACATGATGTTATAAACCATAGGTGTAGTGTACTTGGTGCCAATTCGCTTGATTTTTTTTCTTCCCTTTCTGGTTCACTAATTCAAGTTTCTGCTTCCAGATCATTTGTATTGTTCTAATATATTGTTTGGTCTAAATTTTACCTGTTTGGCATTCTTTTACGACCTATAGATATGTACCAGATTTTAATGAAGATTAAAAAAAAGGGTTCAGGGATCATAAAACTGCATCAAACAAATGTATAGAAGATGAGAATCTGGAAACTGGTTTACGAAAAATAGAGCTACATGAAGATCCAGATCTAACGAAGAACTAGGATAACCATATACTTCACACAAAATAAAAGAAGCATAATACCTCAAACAATATTTGCATTAGTTATGTCTCTACCACCTAAACTTTTACTTCAAAATATAGCCTGTAATGATAACTCTTTAACACTTCCCCTTTATATGTGAATATACAATTAACTACCTACAAGGAAGAAAAAATTTAACTACCTACAAGGAAGAAAAAATTGAACTCGATAAGAAGGAAGCCTGCCCTAACCAAATTAAAGTTCCATTGAATTACGCCAAGTACAGCCATCATGGCCAGTATCTGCTAAACTTGTCTACATATATCGGATAAGAAGGAAGCCTTCCCTGAACAAATGAAAAGTTCTATAGTTGAATTATGCCAAGTATGTCCATAATAGCCAGTATCTGCTAAACTTGTCTACATAGCATGAAAATATGGTTCAGATATTGGATCTTGGAAAGATAAACCTAATAATGAATTTGAGTCCTTAGTTAAAACCCGATAACAACCCTAATTGTTTTCCTTCCATATATGCAAGTTTATATATATGTTCATTTAGTGTTTCTATGCTAAGTATAACTAGTCAAGAACTCCATCCATGTTTTAGTTAGAAACTTTAGTAGGCTTTCTACCATATGTGTGCCTCTAATGAATATCTGCCACCCCAACATAGCATTTACAAAGACTTGCTTAGTTAATCTGGTTTGCTTAAATCCAAGCTACAAATGTTTTTTTCCTCGTCTTGCTTATATGTCGGCTACATCTATGGTATTAAATGTCATTTTAAAAGACAAAGGACAGTTCAGACACTGTCACAATTTCTTAAAAACAAAGCACCTATGCAAAGTAAGGTTATCTTCGAAGTGTATTCCAAATTGATATTTCAGGTAGCAAATTTCATTAACAGATTTGGAGGAGAGTGTACATGCAGAAAAAGATGAGGATTAGGAAACTTAGATGTCTAACAAAGTTTATTTTCTTAAGTTTCCCTTTTATAATGCAGTTACTGCTCCATAAATTAACCAAATATTCATAGGCATTGGGTATATACTGTCTGAGAATGTAGATCCAGTAATGCAGTTCAGACCTGGTTTAGATCATGTATAGGCATTTCATAGACAAACTTACACCTTGCATGCACCCTGTCCAGACCAACCTGTCTCAAACATTAAATGATATTGCATTTGTCTAACTTAAGAAACCCCTACACAAATTCAAAATAATTTGGAAACCAATCAACTTTCGTGTAAAACGAGTGGAATTCAGCAATATAAAAGCTTATCCAGATATGTTTAGTTCGAATCATTGGTTTGCAGCTACCTATAAAGATGATCAAGAGAAACAAATGCAAACTGTTAAGAACAGTACTCCCTCCTGATAAAGCAAGGAAATAATAACAATCTTGATATATTTGACTCTGAATAAACCAGCAAATTGTCATGGGTCTCGATAACTCAATCTGTAAGAAGGTGATTCAGCAAACATATGCAATGAGTCTGAGTCCACTGACAATCTAATTTCCCCCATTTCGGCAAATTTCTTCCCCTGCCAGGCATTATCAAGTTCCCTGAAAATTGCAATTCTTGTGGCAATCATGACAACAAAAGGTTAATAATTCATGCAGAAATCCAAGAAATTATAGCTAGAAACTTTAATCCCAGGAAGCATGAAAACAAACAAAACAAAGTTACAGCGAACCTGCACTTCTGCACTGCAAGATCCAGTCATTCTTGGAGCAAGTACCTCTAATTTGATTCCTAATCCATCAGAACGACCGAGATAAGTTCTTGATTTACTTATCCATGTATCAATCCTCCATTGCAATCAATGACAGCGAATAATCATCAGAAGGAGGCAACCAACTAAACGACCACAATATCCAACCATCCCCATCCGATCAACACCCCCACTATCGCACGAACAATCCGCAGGCTATGCAGAGACTGCTGCTCTTGGAAACCCTACCCCTAACGGCGGCTGCCTGACTCCGAGTACTGTAGTCCGACGAAGCTACCGTTTCCGAGGCCCTAATCACCTCAGAGAATCGGAAAGCTACAAGGATAGTCTCTGGTCACGTGGACGCAGGCAATGGGCGCGGCGTTATCGGTGGCTCCGAAGGCGGACGTTTGCCGCCGGAGCCCAGACGACACCCCATAGAGAGACGAGCGAATCAAGATTTCGAAACCCCCATTATATAACGGGTACGTAACGGCCATTGCGCAAACCGACATAAAAATGTGACGCCCTGCAATCGACCGTTATTTATCGGTTCTCCATCGATTAGGTTTCAGTGGGCATGACCCCGGTTCCGGAAACGGAGGTTTCGGTTCCAGATCCCGGTTCATTCAAATCAGATCCGGGCAATTTCGGTCCGGTTCCCGAACCGGGAGCTGAAATAGTAGTTTCTTTATTTTAATTTTTAATTAAAAATTTTAAGTAGTTAAAAAATAATTTTATTTCGAAATTTTGATACTAAGTTTCACTTTGAAAAGTGTATGTGTTTCCATGTAATAACATAAAAAAACAAATATCTAAATAAAATCATCAATCACTATTTATTTATTTATTTATTTTTAATTTGATTGATTCTAATCAAAATTATCGATTCTGATTCTAGTTTTGATTCCAAGTGGTTGGGTGGTTCTAATTTGTCTACTAATTGATGAACTATCAAATCGATTTGATTGATTCAATTTTATTGGGGATGGAGGAGCTAGAACACATACAAAATATTCTCGAGTGTATATTTTTTATCTTGCTTCATGAACTATAGTCCTATTTATAAAACATAGTGATAACTACCTCACTTCACAATGTCATACATAATTGAGTTAGGTATAGAAACTACCATATAACTTCTATACGAAGGATTACTTCTTAAAACATGTCTATAACTATCTAGAATATGGTAACTACCTAGATAACTACTATGAATCAATTCTCAACTAATTTTGATTTGAACTTCAATAGTAAAAATATTATTATTATTATTTAATTTATTTTTATTTTTTGCTTATGGAGATTAAGTAAACCATTTTTAAGACATACGAAAGAAGGAAGAAAACTGGCAGGATTCAACAGAGGATTATAATACATAAAGCACCAGGAAAACATGCCAGCAATTGCTGTTCATTCTACCACAAAACATTACATTGCTCATGACTCGAAGGTCCGTTATTTGCTCGACTCTACTGGAAAGAGCACACGTTGTTGAAGACAACCTGATGGAGAAGTTCTTGTCTTCTGTCAGCCACTTTCACCACAACACTGCCATGTTCCTGATATGGATGCCAGAAAGAAGTGTATCTAAATCTGAGCCAACTCACTCAAATACTCTGCACTGTTTCTCGACATAGATGATGGGGGCATCTACTTAACCAGAAACAAACCTGAGGTAGGGATATGGGCCCTTGGTCATGCAGTAAAAGAGGTGTTGAAGCTTCCTTCATGGTGTAGCTTCTGCTTGCCCCTTCAGGAGCTGCCTGGTGAAATGGACTCGTCTGGAGTGCTGATGATTCAAACCGTTCCAAGTCGTAGAATATGGGATTCATGGAAGCGAGCTTCATGGAGAGAAACTGTGCATGCACCACCACCACAAGTTTCCATGGAGTCCTCAGCAGCTTGAATTCATGGTCAGAGAAGAAACCAGTTCATGTTTCACCTACCTCTACTTGGTTCTGCAAGAACTGCACGTAGTTTATTATCTCGTCCAGCATGACAGCCTTCCCTGTGTTCTGTGATCATCATCCCGGAGAATTCCAATCAACAATTAGAGCAAACAATGACGAAGGAATCAGCATTACCTTGTCACAGCCAGGAACAAGGCCTCGTAAAAGGTCCATCCTCTCGCGGATTCTCTCCCTTCTCACCTGAATCCACAACACACGATGTATCGTAACAAAGAAGCGTTTATGTTGCAGATGATGAATGTGGAAAAGTAGTCAGTAGTATACCCTCTCTGCCCGACTGTGGCTGTCTGTGGCCTCACCTCTTCTTGCTCTCACATGAATGTATCCTCTTCCCTCGCCATTATCGGCTTCGTCGTCCTTCTTCTTCTTCTTCTTCTTCTCTTCCGCGTGTTTGTTCCGTTTCCTGACGTTTCTCTCTGCGCCCTGATGACAGGAAACATTAGACGAGCAATCCAAGACAGTTGAGGTTCTTAGGGCTGTCGTGAGATCTCGTTTCTTTCGCTTCTTCTCCATGGAGCTCCGTGGTGTTGGGGCCACCCCTCGTCCTCCACGGGGATCAACCATGACTGAAGAAGAGTTCATCCGGGAGGCCTCATAAAGGGCAATTCTGGGCATGTCTTGGCTGCTGCTCCGGAAGCGTTTGGTCATGGCAGTGGGTAGGCTATGGGACGCGAAGCTAGAGGCAACATCGCTTAGGGCTACGTGGGAGGTAATCAGAGTCTAGGAGTAGAGGATGGTACTGATGATACGAGAAGGCTGCCATCTGAGAAAGGAAAGCAGAAAAGGTATGGCTTAACAGAAGGCGGCCAGACCGATCGCAGAGCTCCGTAGCTCTGTGGATTGACGTCGTTTCGATCCATATAATTCAAAAATTTATATTAAATTCTCTATATATAATTATTAAGATCTCTATATATAATTATAAAAATAAAATATCTAATTTTATTTATCATAAAGTTATTGATTTTATCAATGAAAATATAAAAATAATAAGTAAAAATAATAATTTTAACATCTTAATTATGTTTTTGATGGTGGTGGATGCTAACGCACTATTGAACCCACGGATAACTATTGTGGATGAGGAGATAGAGATATGACCAAAAGTGAGTCAAAAAGGAGAAAAGGAAGAGGATGATGATGCTTTGCATTTGGTGTCGCTCGACAACTGCATAACGTCGATACAAATGAAGAACAGTGAAAGAGATGCTCGACATGTACATTGACATCGCTCGCAAATGTATTGATGCCGACGTAAATACAAAATAGCATCGACATCGACGCATATGTAAAGTGATATCGCTCTACATTTACATTGATGTTGACAACGATTCGAGGAAAGGCGACGCCGCTATGCATTTGAGTTAGCATGGATGAAAATGCTGGGTGGTACAAATATAATTGTTAAATGATACCAACATGCATAGTATCGACATCTAAATTGTTCTCTTCCTCTTCACTCATTATCTCATCTCTGCTCGTTGTTACTCTCTCTCTTTATCAACAATAATCACTCGTAATCTTCGACATCGTTATTTGCTACCACCAAAATCATTACTAGGACATTAAAATAATTTTTTTATTCATCGTTTTCGTGCATTCACCAATAAAACTAATGATGTTAAAGTGAAGTTAGATGTTTCAGTGATTTTAATATAATTTTTGAAATATATAGGATCAGACTTTTAAAGGGATCTAATAATTAGCTTATCATGCGATGGCAGCTCTCCGGCCGTAGGCCATAGATAGCTACTTTGTTAGGATTGGATCAAATCATGGCTCGAGGAAGGTTCGAGCCACTTGATGTGATTTGATCAAATAAAAATTGACTCGAGCCACTTTATTCGATGGAATCAAGTCGAAATTGAAAACTAAACCTAAATTTCCGGCCTCCCCCGTCACCTCATCGCGGCGAGTGCCCCAGCGACCGCTTCTTTGGAGGAATACCCACCGGCAAGCGACGACCGCCTCTTCTCCCTGTCGACGATTGGCTATCCTCCCTGTGGGCGATCGGCATCCTCCCTTCCGGTGGTATCTCTCTCTCTCTCTGCTCCCTTTCCCATCATTCCCACTCTCTCTTCTCTTCCTTTCTCCCATCGCTAGTCGCCGCCGCCACCACCCAACTTCTTCTTTCTTCTCCAGCAACACGTTGCCCTCCGTATCTCTGCTCTTCTCCTTTCCCTCTCTGCCACAGCAGCCGGCCTCCTCTCCTCTCTGCCTCTGTGTAGGGGCTTCGGCAGCCGACCTCCTCCAACTTCCTATGTTATCTGGTTCTCCGTACAATGATTGTTAAATGAATGCAATTCGATGTTTTAGTAGTGATATTTTGTATATGAAATGATATGAAACTCATGATTTATCTAATTTTTGTTTTAATTATTATCTTTCTCCTTACAACAACAACAAGAACAAAATCTTAAGTCTCAACTATTTGAGATTGGCTATACGAATCTTTTGCTTATTGTCTTTCTCGTGATTATATTTATTATAATTTTTATATTGACATGCGACCTCCGGCCTATTGGAACATTGGTGTGTCTTAGTGCCTAGCATCTTTGACAACACTGATAACAGCCAAGTCGATTAATCCACCAAAAAATCGAGGGATTTGAGATTAAACCCATTTGATCATGCAAGACTTGCGAAAGGAACAACAACCATTAGATCAGTTGTAAAGGCTTGGTGTTCGTAATGGCCGAAACATGGATATGATATGGGCAAATATACCATCTGTCTTGCATAGTGACCGACATAATAAATTGATGCATGTCAGCTCCACTGTAAGACCTCGATACTATTTCCATAGAGGCAACTAGATCAATTGTAAAGGCTTGGTGTTCAAAACGGCCAAACAATGGATATATAATGGGCAAATATACTATCTGTATTTTACACATAAAATATAAGCCGAGTAACCAACATAATAAATGTATGCATGTTAGCTTGAGAGTAAGGCCTTGATATTATTTCCATAGAGCTATCCCTATAGTTTGTGTGTTTCAGTTTCTTTGTTTCCAGTTGATTTATTGGTGATTTTTATATGGCAATGAATGCCAAGTGATGCATAATTTGAAAACATACCAGGTTTGCTTTTGGTCATCCCAAATTTTCTTGGACATATTTAAGCACTGTATGCTCATTTGGCACTATTTAAAATTGTGGGCAGACCGGCAGATTAAGATTAAAATTTGGTGTATTTGATTCCATACTTTCTTTTTCAGCTCATCCAATAGGACCTCAATATGGAGAGACCCACTTCTGACATGTCTTCAGCAAATGCTGTGCTGCTGGGTGCATTGGCTTCTGGTGTAAATGTGCGTTCTGAGGCTAGATCAGCCTTTTTTGTTTAAATGTGTTCATCTTATGTTATTTTAAGTTTTCAATTTTTCGGAAAATCTTTGAGAATCCTGTAAGGTTCTAATAATCTGGTCCCAATTTCCTTTTGGTACAGGATCAAACATGGTTTGTGCTGAAGGCTACATTTTTGTTGCTTGGATTATGTCTTACTTCCATGCTTGCTCTAGCATTTTCATCAAGTGATTTCATTATTGTTGGCCACGTTCTTTTGCTTGTTACCATAGGGGCAGTTCTTTTTCTACTCCTAAACAGGTAGTTCTCAGTCTCTCTGGTTTCTGAATTTTGCTATTGATTTTGTTTATTTTGGGTTATCATAACCATTTTTACACGAGTGATTACTGGATACTTACTATCTATTGCTACACTTATAGAATGCCTACTGTAGTTGCTGTTAAGCTGCATGGTGCAACATCTTGTCTGTACATTATTTGGCCTGCAGTTTTTTACTATTGTTCGTGAGTCATTTTCATCCTGTATAATGTGATGGTGATTGGTGTATGATGACCTCAATGTTAAGAGTTCCAGAATTAATCAACATGATGTTATCCTTGATAAATTGTCCTACTTGTATATGTCAACTTGTGGCACCAGCAACCTTGAAAGCACAGCTTCTTTGCATTAAACTTGACTGCTGATCCAACACATGAGGTTCCTGCAGATATGGGGTCTGAGGAGGGCTGATATATGTTACCTTACCCCTGCTAGAAACTAGGCCATTTCTATGACAAACCTTGGTCTTCCAAGTTGCAAGGCATCAAAATTTTCCCTGGAATTTTGATTCCTCACTCACTGCCACCATTTTCCACTTCTTTTTTGTTTTTATACTAAAAATGAGTTCTCCAATTGGCGTAGGTTCACCATCTTTCAATAGTTATCAATTGTCTTCGGGCTATTGAATGGCAACTATTAAGCTTGGCTCTATCTTCCACCCAACACTCCTATAAGTGAATAATTTTTGCTATTTGATTCTTTTCATTTGCTTACAGTTATTATAGGAATAGAACATAGAATTTCCAATAGGCATCATTATGAAAGCTTGAACCATTATCTATATGTGATCCATATATAAGAGTGGTGCTGGTAAGAGAAACATGTTTGCCATCATGCATGCTGGATGTAACATATAAGTTATAACAATATTTTGTACTCTGTTTTTTTAATGCAATGTTTTCTAGCTCTACCCAGTATATTTTCTTAAGGATCTACATATCTTGTCTGTGATGATTGTTCACCTAGCAAGATAATAGAAAGAAACTAAATGAATGTTTTGGATGGATGAATTTTGATCATCTTAATTCATAGAGTGCTTGGATATTAGCACCCTTTCTGTTTATAAAATCTATTAAAATATATAACTGAATATTGCTTTAGAAATTCTCCTTAGCCATGAGACTTTTGATGGAAACTTAATTTTTGAAGAATTGACTAATCTTTTTTGTGGCTTTTTCTTCACAGATTTCTAGCACAGACTGGTCTGGTGTCTGTTGAACAACAAATGAAGGAGATGGGTATTTCAGACAGAGAACAGATCGAGAAAGACAAAAGCAATTAATGATGTCATATCAGTACTATACAAACATCATTCTTCAGCATTTGTGATTGGACAATTACAATCCTGGGAAATTTGAAGCAGATACTTGGATCATCCTTTCCTCATAGTATGAAGCCAAAGGAACACGCCATCTTCAATTACCCTTTGATTCCTTCCCCTTGGACTTGCTCTTGTTGGACTTCATGAAGCAGACGCAAGATCCGAATGGAATTTGAAACAAGAACATTGTTGTATTTCAGATTCTCAGATGTAGTACTCTCAGATATGTATTTGGTTAAAGAAATAACCCCTGCCTTGGAATTTCCTCCTATTTAATTCATCTGTGTTGATCCCTTTCCTGTCACTTTTAAAAGAAGATGTCTATGGTCATGCTTTAGAGGGAATATGACCACAATCGGAAGCCATCTACTTTTCTTTCGTTTGTGTGGTCATGCTGCCCAACTATATCTTATGGTACTGTTTATTCTTTTTCAAGTAGGATTTCTGGTTGGAAAGAGACTTGGTTCACCTCAATGAAGTTTGTTAGCCTGCTGTGAATGCTTATTATGGAGTCTTGCATCTCAAGGCAGTATATTGTTATTTAATGTCATATAATAATTGTTGGCAGACACCTTTACATGCAGGAGTTAATCATTGCTGCCAGAGGAGGATAATTTCCAGTTATGTAATCTTGGAATTGACTAATTTATCATCTTCCCTGAGAGCTTAACTATTGTTGGCATTAGAAGATATTTTGTTT